TATATATAATTATTTCTACCTGTAAATATATTATTTCTAGGCTAACAAAAAATATGAAATATTATTAATATTTAATAATAATCTTTCATCGATGCAACAACACTGATCGTCCCCCTCCTTATTACATCTTTTTTTTCTATTTCTAATCATAGAAAGTTAGAAGAGAGAATGGTATGGTCTTCGGTACTGTCACTTTCGGTCTTGCCATTCATGAAGGATATCGGTTTCAACGTGCTAAACGGACACACGTACGTAGGGATAGTCTTTCCTGTATCGACTTTCAAACGTGTCGCCTGTATTGGAAATAAAAATATCTATATAATGGAATAGAAACAAAAAATCAAAAGTAAAATTATTAAATTATATTAATACGTTAAAAAATGAGAAAGGAATGATGAAATGCAGAAAATAAAATTTGGGTCAAAAATGCGTGAAATGCCAAGGTCCGACATCTTTCTTTTATCTCCTTTTCAGACTTTTCTCTTTTTTCTTTTTTACATATAAGTATATGTGTGTATATATATATATGTATAAAAAAAAATGTATTTGCGTAAGTGTAATATATTTTCTTTTTTCTTCTTTGTACATATTATGCTGTAGTACAGACATTCAAATGTCTACAAGTGATCGTGTAGAATCAAGGAACACGGGTTTGATATTGCACAACAATGCAGAAGGGCTTATCGATTTCTGTTGTTCGCGTCTTGGTAAATAAAAGCATCAAATTACTATCGATCAACTTTCTTTTCCTTCAGAAAATAAAATAAACTCAAACTTATTTCATTGAAATAGATTCGAACAATTTTTTCTATCCTTTACCCATAAAAAAAATCAATATTCATTAAGAAACGTAATTAAAAAGGACCAATATATAATAGTGAAAATACTTTTTCAATTGTGCATACAATGTTATCGATTGTTATACAAATATATTTAATGTAAGAGAAGAAAAAAAGAAATACATTATGTCACTCGTATACTTGAGTTAATGCGTGCGCATGCGCTCGATCGGCAGTCAAATCTGTTTAAAATAATCATTCCAAGGGAATTTCCGGAGTCGCCCCAATTAAGGATACACAAGATAAAATATCTATCTACCATCGCCAAAGAATTTTTATTTAACGCAAAAAACACTGACGAAATTTTTAGGCTAATTTCTAATATATTTAAGATTGTCAATTATAAAATAAGATAAGATCCGTATTGAAACACACGAATGCGCGCATTAAAAATCGGATTACGTTATTAAGATCCAATCCTTCATGGCGTACCATCAAATTCTCTTTGATACGTTTAACCGGCTGTTCAATTTCTTTCATGTCTGCTGTCTCCTTTCTTTTTTTTCCTTATCTTCTTTTTATATATTGATTTTTGAAAGTCACACAATTGTTACGATTTATCAAATACTCCAAGTAATGTAACGAAAGAAATTCCTGTAAATTAAAAAAATTCTATCGATGTACGATCGTTTATAAATTTACTAAACAAAATTAGAAAGATATTCAATTAAAAATATATCACATTCATCTACACTATTTTGAACAACTCTTTTCGTTTTTATCATGATGTTAATCATTTTTAAAATAATATAAAAATGTATATTAATTATCAAATTGATGATGAATTTTTAAATGAACACACCTTGAACGTTTTCAAATATTTATAGTAATGACTCAAGGTAATGGCTGACCGGTTCAAGACAATTCATTCCCGTTATTATACTTTCTATCGAAACCGTTCGACCATGTAATCTCAGCAAACGTTCATTTTCTTGCAACTAATGTACTTACGAATTAAATACACTATCTCTCTCTCTCTCTCTCTCTCTCTCTCTCTCTCTCTCTCTCTCTCTCTCTTTCTTTGTTTCTTTGTTTCTCTTCAAAAGGTTTATATACCTTAGCACGAAAACAAAGGTAATGAAAAGTATTAGACAGATATAAAAAGAAAGAGAGAGGGAGAGAGTAAGATAAGTTTAATAATTCATTTTCATTCATTCAACTACTCGGTAATACCACTTTATTAATCACATCATAACTTCATTTTATTTCTGATACCCTCTTAAACTTTCTTACCTATTATCCACAGTTTAGATAATTTTACGATGCAATAAAAGCTTATTGTGATGAATGAGAATCGTCTCTCAACAAGACGATAACACTAAACAATTATATTATAATTATATCCAATTTAAAGGAGAATGTTGACGAGTCCTCGAGACAAGGTAAATGTCGAGTAATGCTTGACAAAAGTGTATTAAAGAAAAATGCATATGCGTGTATATACACTACTAGCCAAAAGTATGAAATATAAATTATGAAATGCTGATTTTTCTCAAAATCGGACATATTGATAAATTGAAAAACAATTAATCGATATTACATTAAATATAAACAAGCTGAATGATGTTTCAAAAGGTTTCAGCATTTTATTATGCCCATAATACTCTTCAATAATTTATACACTCGATTTAAGATAATTCTTGAAATAAACATTCCTACTGGGACATTTAAATTATAAACGCTCGGTAAACTTACATTAGTTGTAAAGATATACACGTAATATGTTTTTTTTTTATATTTAAATAGGGATTTTAAACTTTTGGCCGGTAGTGTATCTGTGTATGTTGACTTACGTAGGCACACGCAGTACGAAATTGTGAAGGGGGTGCAGGAGAGAAGGAGAGAATATCACGAGCTTGTTTAACGAGCGTGTCCTTTTTAACCGAACAACTAAGCACGCTAACCATGGACCCTCGAGATAAATGGATCGATATTGGCCAAGAGATCGTTGCTCGAGGCTCTTCCAATTTCATCGATATAGTTTAGTAAAATCTAAAGAGATCTTTATCCATCTAGAAAACCTTATTTCAATATTTTTAAATGTGTGTCTTTTAACGTGCGAACCAATTAAAAAAAAGTCAATAGTTAACTCATCGTAGGTAATGTGTTTTTCTACAATTTTTGTTGTTTTATCCTCAGTAATATTGTTCGAGTTTCGTGAGAAAGATAACAGACTCGATAACATCCATTCACACCCTTTCACTGTAATTTGCATTTCGATACGTGTATTATATTTTAGATAGTTTCCGTTACTAGAAAGTAATAAGCTTTCACTTTCGATTATTTATGATTGATATTATTTTGACCAGAATTTTGTTAATTAAATTGTTAATGATGTGTATGTATATATCAGTTAAATATGTGTATATATATATGAGTGTGGGTTGAAAAATCTTTAGAGCCCACCATACAAAACAATTTTTTTTCGGTTAGTATTGTAAATATGCATGATTAGTATTTGCAAATAAAATGGGAAAGTTTGCATCAGCGTTGAAAATTTGTATAAAAAAATCTTCTTTAGCGTACCAAAACAAATATAACTTCAAAAATAACTTCAATTTGCCCGCGCATCGTAAATACCGACAACTTCGTGGTGTTTATATTCCATTCGCATCTAACTTCACTTTCCAAAACGCGCCAAAAGAAGTTTAACTTCAAAAATATAGTATTATGTTATTAACAAAAATATCGACTATCTATTTAATATATTAAATTTACGTGTTATATTATGTGATACGTTTGCTATTATAATCTTCATTTTTCTGTTGTTTTTTCTGATCACAATTTTGTTTAGAAATATTGAGCTAATAATAAAAAGCTATCATATTGTTTAATTGTTATATTTTTTAATGCAAACAAAGGCCTGTCGATGTCCATCCAGTTATTCGGGATAATCGATGTCTCAAATTGAGGGCAGCAGTCGTGTGGCGCTCGTTTAGAGAAAGGAAAGTAAAACGCGAACGGTAGCTACGCCTTCTCCTTTCTTATTCTTTTTATTCTTCTTCTTCTTCTCCTTTATATTCATTCAACCGACTACATTCTCATCTCGTACAAATTATGCACTTACTTACATACACTCACTTCCTCATGTAAATGTTCTTCTTTATCTACTTGAAAAGATTACTCGAGAAAAATTCATTTGTAAATCACTTGTCATGATTCCCATTCGTTTAGTATTCATCTAAGGATTCAGAACAGGTTTTTCTGTTCTTTTTATTATTCAAATTGAACAAAAAAATGAAATGTATCTACTTTACTTTCAGTTAGCCAGTCTATATACAAAGTTTTAATGCTTGTACATAAAACATATATATATATATATAGACAATTTGTAGATATCCTCGTGCATAGAATTTCCCATGAAATTGTATCTTTTGATTGTTTGATTTGAAATAAAAATAATTATTAAAATTAACATGTGAATTACTCATCATTTATTTCTCATTAATGTAATATTCATTTAAAACTTTCACAAGCAGGTTACTTTGTTCAAAATGTAAAACAAAATGTACTTTCATGAGATATATTCATAAAAATAATTAACCGTGCTCGTAGATAATTTTGTCTTACCGTTTATGTGCATAAAAGGTATTTCTAGGCATCCTCATAAATAGACTTTGTAAAAATAAAGTAAGTCGCCAAATGAATATATGAGTTTGTAACGACTGGCGTGGCAACGTTGTAAGCATCGCCAAAAAGCGATAAGATAAAGTACTTGTCGGTCCTTTGTAAGGAAAAACAAAATAAAAAACAATACGAAGCACATCGGATCCACTCTAAAATCATATTCATAAATAAATTTCTATTATGTTAACCGTATCCATAAAGTGTTTTTATTTATTTCTTACCCTAACAAGTTATTCATATTTTATTTGCTACTCGTAAAGTATCCTCTTAAGTATTCGAAACTGGTTATTTTATTCCAAATGTAAAAAAAGAAGTTAAAGGAAAATGAACTTTCATAATGGGAATATATTCATCAGAATGACTAACCATACATATATACACATTTTTGATTTACTATGTATATAAAAGGTAAGTATTATACTTAAATGTATGTTCTCCCCACCTGAATGAGATGAAAGGGGTATACCAAGTGTAGACCACTATCGTTTCTCTCCTACCTCTTCGAAATCTCGTCCAATTCGAGCGAGGCAACTGTCGAGAAGGTTGCTTTTCGGGGGAGCCCAGCACCAATGCAGAAATAAGAAAACAGAGAAGAATAAGAAGAACGTCAAGTAGTCGTGTGAAGGAACGAAGGGTACAACTATGCTATGAAGGCTTAGCTTCGTGCAAAGATAGTAGACGGTAACCGAGTTTAGGAACGTTCGAGGAGTTACCTGGAATAACGCGTGTCGGTCAGTAAATCGGTGATCGGAGACCGGCTACTGGCGACCGGCGAAGTGAAAGAGTAACCTACTACAACATAAGATACTTTATCCGTAAGCAAGTATCAAACTGGAGCTAGCCGAAAGGAAGCCAAGTAAAAGTGGACGACAAGACACGTTCGTCGGTTAAACGCATTTCTGACTCTGCACTCAGTGCTTGAATTCCCCCAAGTGTTTCCACAGGATCCGAACAATAAACACGCGAGTGTTATCATCCAAGTGTTTTATCTTTTGTTTCATTTATTTTGTTGTTGTTTCATTTCTCAACTATATCTCCGATCTTTTTTTCCAACCCAACCCACTCCCACCCCCACCCTCCTTGAATTTCGTCATTTTTATCTGCTTTTTTACCTTCCTTATAATTTTCCTTTTGTTTCGGTTCGTGAAAACGTGGATCACTCGGTGAAAGTTCAGCGCGATGCTCGAAGGGTGAGTTGTCATATATTCTCTTTGGAAAGATATTTCTTTTATTTTATTTTATTTTATTTTATTTTATTTTATTTTATTATATTTCTTTCGTTGAGAGATTATATTTTAGCCCTATGTTAAAATATATATTCACACCAGCTAGAAAAATGTAATTGTAGGAAAGTGAGAAAGAAAGTAAATAGGTAGCTAATTTTAAAGAACTATTGAGAGATTATTCGGGGATCTCACGAAACTTGGTTTTTGTTTATCTTTATCACGCGAGGTGCACGCGCGAAGTGCACGTTAACCTCCTTGACTACTACGTGAAGTGAAAGGAGAATCCGTTATGCATCGCATCGAGAAAATAATTCTTAATTTTAGTTTTCTAAAGACATGTTTCTTATCTTAATGGTTTGTACAATTTTTACTGCAAACAAATATTCAACGTTCTCTCCATTTATACAAATAAGAATGAATCAGAACCAAAGTTTAGTTCTAACAAATTAAAAATAATAAAACGATATCCTCAATTAAAATAAAGAGACAAAAAGTAAAATAAAAAATTCGGAGAAAAAATTATGTACAGTTAACAACAACAACAACACAGGAAAGCTTGGCAAAGGAAAAAGAAAAGAAAATCAGGTATGTCATTAGAAAACTAATTGCAAGAAATTTTCCTATCTTTTATCTATCGAGGAATCGATGCAAGAAGGAGAGTTTCACACGGAAGGTCCAGCTTCTACTCTCTTAAAGATTACATCATAATCCGCAAACACGTAAAATATATATATATAGTCCGCGGTATCAAATGGGGAAGGGAAGGACTTTCGTAATTCCATTACGATGCGCCCTTATGCAACGAGGAAGTGATTCTTGCTGCATCGTCCGTTTTTTCCTTACACACTAAATGACTAACTTGAAAATGATTCTTATCGTGTTCAAATTAACGAATTACTTGTTTTCATTTGATCCTTTAATGTAAGATAGGAAAATAAACCGATATTTCGTTCAAATTTATGTACGGTGACTTTCACCTTCTATCTATTTGAAATAACTTGTAATCAATTTAGAAAGAGAAAATAAAGTAATAAATAAAAATGAATAAATTTGATTTAACATTTTTAAATAAAATATACGGTTTTTTTTTATTTTTTTTATTGTTATTCCTATCAATTATCACATACCTTTTACCAGAGTGGCTTTGAAATTCTTTCACTGGTGAAAGAAAATTCGCAATTATGTTTCTAATAATTATTAATAAAAAAATCTACAGATCAAAGATGAAAGATGTCGAGCAATAATTTAGAGAGAGAGAGAGAGAGAGAGAGAGAGAGAGAGAGAGAGAGAGAGAGAGAGAAATAGATAGAGAAATTAGAAGATATTAGTAGCGAATGCTCTTAATCACTGTCCGCCTACACGATAGTTGCATTGAATCAAAAGATGGTACAGCAAGATAGTAAACTAAAGCTTACTCAGCATCGACGTTTAAATCGCACGTTTTATCGTTTCTCCAACGTGCAACCAACAACGTGATGGAGACAAATTAATACTTTCATAATTCTTTACTTCAGTTGTATCTCGTAGAATTTACGAATATCGAACTTTGTTCATTTTTCCTCGGAGCGCACATTTTCTGGCTACAGTTCGATCTAATTTGATGAAATGTCATTTATTACAATATTTCAAATTTTCTTTCATAAGGTCAATAGACAAAATTTGACCTGGCTTAACAATATAAATTGTTCATGTGTCGTTAAAAAAGAAAACAAGAAAAAAAGAAAAAAAAGAAAAAAAGAAAAAAGAGAAATAAACGGGGAAAGTTAAAAGGATATAAATATCGGTACGAAAAAAGCGCATCGTTTCCCGAACCTTCTCGCTTTCTTGCGATTTCCGATTTCTCGTATCTCGACGTGATCGGAATAACGCTTCGATCAATGTGATTCGTTATTAGCTCTGATTTAGATCTTTTACTGATTCGAAGAAAGAAAGAGATGAATAATTGATCGAGCGAAACACATTATTGACAACGATGATTAATCCATTGTTAGAATAAACGATTATTTCCTTTATTAAATGTTACATAAGTATCTATCGATCGGAATAGAAAAGAAATTAATGAGAATTTTCTTTTTATTTAAACAAAAATACAAGATAATATAATCCCGTAAAAATTGTTTATGTTTCTTCATAGGATGTTTTTACTTTTTGTTAATTTTCTTTCCATGTTGCAGATTCGCGAGAACGCGGACCGCGGTAATAGGAGTTGTGGTGTTACTGATTGGGCTCAACTGCCATGATCACGTATGCGAAGGATTGGAATATCAACCGGTTGAGATTTATGGAAATAGCGACGAATGTGCTTTGATCCTGGATGGTCCTGGAAGGACCAGTGTTTTCGATTACACTTATAATTTACTTCGTGGAAATTTGTAAGTATTATTTCATTCATTTGTCTTTTATCTATCTTCTCTATTTCCCTCATTCATATTTTATTCTATAAATAATCATAACACAACAATATTTTATATGTTAATAAGGAAAAAACGATCGATTGAGTTCCGTTGTAAACGAAACATAAGACCGACTTTTACTTTCACTCTTGAATATACGTTTTGTATATCGTCGATTGCCGATAATGTAGGGACAAAATATATGTGCATGTATATGTGTATATATATATATATATATATTCGACCTTTCCATCGACTTTCCCTGACACTAACTGCAACATCTTATGAACAAAAATTCATTACAAAATGAAATTAAAAAATGAACTTGTGAATAATTGATAGAAAATAATTTTTATGGAATGATTTTCGAAAGTCTAATCTGCTCAAAATAAGAAACAAAAAGAATCAATTGCTATCATAAATGTGTCATGATAGCGGTGGTAATGGAAGTGGTAGCTTGCAAATACCTCCCATTTCAGTCTTTACGAACTCGATCGGCATGGAGTTTGTATAATAGTTTACTTGTGCATGAACGAACATAAGTATGCTTTACTTACTTACGCACGAATGCCGGTTACGACAGTACGAGAGTATTACGTAAAAGAATTCTCAAAAATTATGTGCGTCTTATTGCGAGTCCGGTCCGGTCCGTTCCAATTGAAAGAGAAAGAATAAAGTATTTTACGGTTCGTTCTTCTTTTTTAAGGGTGTTCGCGCAAAAGAGAAACGTGTTTCTTGTCACGTTTTTTTTTTTTAATACCTTACTTTTTCTTTTTCTTTAATATGAAAGTTCAAACGAACAAGTGAATGACGTTGTTAATCGAAATATTGTTCAAGGTTGAATTTATATAACATATGATTAGATATATTAAATTATCTCTTACTTTGTACAATAAAATGTTTTTTGGAAGAAAAATATTATTTCGAAGTAAGAAAATATTGTATAAAGACAAATAGAAATGTTTTCCAATAGTTGAAATAGTTTTCGACGAAAGAATAAAAATAAAAATAAAATGAACACGTGTAACGACGACGACGACGACGACGACGACGACGACGACGACGACGACGACGACCTCGATATGATCGAATACGCCGATAATGGTTGGTATCTCGTAAAATGCGATAACTATGGGAGCATTGTACGTTTATTCCTGACATTTTCTCTCTCCCTTTGATCAACGTAAATATATATCGTGGTATGAACGCACTTTTAACGAGTACTTTCTAGGCAATCTAAGCGAGATTGCATTCGGCATTGCCGAGAAGGACGCGAACTCGAAATTCCATTCGTAGAAATGCATTCGTAGAAATGCATTCGTAGAAATGCATTCGTGTTAGAATCAACGATTCCATAGTTAAGTGTAATTCTTTTTAATAAGAATTTTTCCAATAACTTCGATTTAAATAATCTTACAAATATATAATGTAATATAACGCACCCCATTGTAAAATAAAATAAAAAATAAATATTATGAAAAAAAGTAAGAGTTACTATGTTAAATGTGAATAATATAAAAATATATTATATAGCATTGCGATAAATCTAATATAAGAGAGGAGTTGGTGGGTGAAGTTTATAGATACTTTATCTAGGCTATAATCTGCCATGCGTGAACCGTTTTCAAATCGACGAGTATGCTTATGCAACTTTAAAGCGAATTAGCAAACTAGCTCTGAACGAGTATTCTTACATCCAGTATATTACCAATAATTATAACATTTTTAATAATACAATCAAATAGAGATATTTTCTTTTTAATGTATTATAGGATTACGTTTTTTCTCACTTCTATATTTTTTTTTTCGTATATAATACATAATTGATATAAGAAAACAGGGAGAAAGTATAAGTCGAAAGTTTTTGTATTTCCAAATAGAAACAAATAAGGAATGAAAAACACGGTTATTTATGTACCGCATGACGGTAAATAGCATAAAACATAGTAATAATAATACGTGTATGCAAAAATTAATCCAGGATAAAAGTAAGTCATGCACAACACGACACACGGAGTATGTGTGTCGCGAGGTTCGTCGAAACGCGGAAGAAATGGCGACTAGGATAATAAAGAAAGAACGGATCGGAAAGTAAACGGTATTATACATATATAATACCTACACGTAGAGATATGTGTAGAGTGCCACTGGGTCAACCTTCGATGGTAAAAGCCACGGGCGGCGGCGGTGGCGGCACGTCAATGCCACCACTATATTTCGTAGCTAGGAGAAACAGGATATGAGTCGATTCTTCTGATACTATGCAAGATATAGTTTCGAGTTACCTCGATACAAAATATCCCTTAAGATGCAAGCTTTCGTGTGTGAACATAAAATTGTGCGATATATATTAAATATATTATCTACTTTCTACGTCCTCTATATCCATTTCTATACTCTTTCGAAGTTATTTTTAATACGATTACGGAGCCATTATATTATTTTATATAATTATCATTATATGTGATATATGATAATATCATAATAAAAATTATAAAATCATAATAAAATATTATCTAATTTTTTTTTATATCTACCAATTATTCATTTTTCTAATATAGATGCACACACATTCCACCCGTGTTTGTTATATTATTTTATATTTTATTCGCCTGCTTCTTCGGTTGTTCCTGGTTACAACTAGCGACCTACCTAATACAGGTTCCATGAACACGTTTCTAAACGTAGTGTTTTAAAGAGAGATAAAGATAGTTGTAAACTAGGCTAGAACACGTTAGGTAATTAAATCGGAGAGAAGGGAAGCTGTAAATAATACTCTAAGAGTCAAAGATCGCAGTCTCTCGCGCCTTCATTTTGCATCCTCATTCACTCACCGACTTTAAGTTATTTTTTTCTCTTTCTTTTAAATACTTATCTTTTATTATTCCATTCCTTTTTCCATAGTCCACCTACTGCGGGATCACAAACCTGTATCACATACGATGCAGTTAATCATGCCTATATAGAGGCGAGGAAACGCATCAGTAAGTAAGACGATTGCTATAATCATTATTCTCTCTGTTATAAAGTCACTCAATCCCAGTCAAGAAGAATTTTTGTTCATTTACAATTGAACCCGTTTATTTGAAACTCCATCGCGCTGAGAAACGACGCTTACGCGAATACTCGAGATATTTTGCAAGATTGGCTAACATAATTTATGCAACTTCATTGCGCGGCAATATATATAAGAGAAATAAAATAAAAGAATAATAAATATAATGATCATCTTACGTAAACTGATTTTAATCTTAATATGTTTGACAAACAGACGTCGCACAACCCAAAAACGAAATCTGGAGACCCGAAGATCTGGCTACGGTCGGTGAACTTTTACTGGACATATCCATTAATCTAGCCCAAACGTGAGTTACAAATGAACAAAACGAGTATGATTAAGAATGAGCTGATCAATTAAACATGTCACGATTTAACAGGTACGGTCTGTCATTCGAGGAAATTGAGAAAAGTCTTCCATTGATCGACACATCGAAAACATTAATACGCGAAGTTTGTCCTGCTTTTTTAAGCAACGTCGAATGTAGACCAGGAAAATATCGAAGATACGATGGACTCTGTACAAATTTACAAAATCCAACATGGGGTTCGACTCTTTCTCCGTTCACCAGGTAAGATTACACATTTTTTCTTCATTTTATCTTTTTTCCTTCTTTATATTGTTGTTGTTGTTAATTTTTAGATTGATGCCACCAAGATTCTCGGATGGTTTATCAGCACCTAGGATAGCAGTAAGTAGACGAGATTTACCCTTGTCTAGAATAGTTTCACGTACTATGCACCCAGATGAGGGATATCATGACCACGCTGGTACTGTCATGGTGATAGCCTGGGGACAATTCATGGATCATGATTATACGCTAACTGGAACACCTTTAGGTAAGGTCTTTTTATATATTTAATACTTTCAAAACACGTGTTTGTGTTTGTACGTTTAAAAAAAGAAAGTTACTTTGTAAGATTATTGATCAATCTCGTGTTACGAGATGATGACAATGATGATTTAATAGCGTATATAATCAACCAAATAAATCTAATTCTAAGAACATGTGACCTATATATTATACTATAAGAATAGAAATTAAACGTTAGAAAGCATTTCAATTATCAAATATTTAACCCATAAGAATATGACACAACTATCCTGGCGTGTGTGATGTTCCAATTAAACATTTCAAAGTTTCCCATATGTGCTTGCATGAGCGTTGTGAGTGTGTGTGTAAATAACACGCGAACTTATAGATATCAAACCCTTCCATATTGAATACATATACCTTATACCGAAAGGAGGGTAGGTAACTAGCAGAGAAAGCGAACGATCGCAGTGACAAGATTGTAATACATTTTGATATAATAAACGAGGCCAATTGTTGTCTCTGTTTTCATGCTTCTTTCCAAAAACATTACACTCTGTCTTTTCACTTTACTTCGGCAAAGAATTATTTCTCTTTCAAATTCCTGTGTATAAAAATATGAAATAATAATATATTAGAAAAATTATCTAATAAATTTATTACATTTTTCAGATCCATTAAATCGTAATGACCCCGAAGAATGTTGTTCTCGTCCTCCACATTTGAAGAATCCTTATTGCAACGAAATTCGTATACCAGAAGATGATTACTTCTACAGATTATTTAACGTCCAATGTATGGACTTTGTGCGAGCATTCCCAGCTGTTCGACCGGGTTGTCGTCTTGGATCACGTGTACCTTTTAACTTGCTTACTGGAGTTCTTGATGGAAACACTGTTTATGGAATTACAGAACATTTCTCTAGGTAAGTATCAACATCCTAAGATATATTATACATAATAACACAAAATTCGAAGGATCTTGAAATTTCACGAACTGAATCACGATTGGGAGTCAATGATTAACGTGTGAGAACTCCAATTGATCTTTTTGAGATTTTACACTCTAGATCGGTTAGGTAGGATAGACCAGGATACGAAATCGAAGTTTATTTATCCTGCCAACACGTGTGCCTGTGCATCTGTTACGTCATTCACGACAATAAATCAGTATTACACGTCGTTCTATATTTTCAAACGTTGGTACCACCCTGTACTTTCTATCAGCAAACTCACATCATAGGATCCACTATTGCTCAATCTGGCCCGATTTAGTGATCCCACAATCACTTGCTCGAAATTTAAACTTCTTTTTACAGGCGAATCAAGTGATTCGCTTTCCACGAAATAAATTAATATAGTATAATATCCTTTTTCTTTTTTTTTAGAAAACTGCGAAGTGGTTACGGTGGATTATTAAGAATGAATCCAGTTTTCAACGAGTACGGATTGAAAGATCTATTACCATTGAAATTGGATATACCTGACGAAGGATGCACTCGTCCAAATAAGTCGATGTACTGTTTTGAAGCAGGTAAGATGTTTTAATCAAAATAAAATAAAACAAAATGGAAAGAAAACTTTTCCTAAGAATGAATTAATTAAATTTTCATTGCGTCTCACCTATATAAATTACGATGTACAAGTGATGTAATTAAAATTGTTTTCTTTCACACGAGCTACCGCGCTCTCCTTGATCTATGATTAAGAAAGGTATGACGTGGGAAAATGTTATGGAAAATGAGTTATCGTTGGTGTTACTTCATTACAATAAAACTATGCGCTGCTTAATGTACATTTCTCAACTAACTGTTCACGCTAGAATTGTAAAGATACCTTTCTTCAATCTCTCGTGATAATCTTATCTAAAAAAAATTCTCACGATTATACCATGTGAGACGTATTATACACAAATATTCTAACGTGTAAAAGTTTTGTCCATTTTAATATCTGATTAAATTTTTCTATTTTAGGTGAAATTCGTGTCAACGAGCAGTTGGTATTAACTTGCATGCACACATTGGTCGCTAGAGAGCACAACAGAATTGCGAAGGTACTCACTCGTATTAATCCTCATTGGGACGATGAGACGCTGTTTCAGGAATCAAGACGCATAGTCATCGCAGAAATTCAACATATCACTTACAATGAGTTTTTGCCAATTCTTTTGGGGAAAGACGTCATGGAAAAGTTTGGACTTCTTCTCGAGAAAAACGTAATTAATCTTATTCTAACAACGCGTAATCAGCATTCGGGCTTTTTTAATAGTTTACAAAATTAATTATTTTGATTTAGGGTTATTGGGATGGATACGATCCAACAGTAAATCCTGGTGTAATCGATGCATTCGCTGCTGCTGCATTCAGATTTGGACATTCTTTACTTCCCACTGCGGTTGAACGATGGAGCAAAGCACACAAATTTATTGGTAAATTTTTAAATAAACATTCATCCAAAACTATCAATTTCTAATCAATTCTGAATATTTCTAAAGCTTCCAAAAGATTATCGGATCTAATCAGAAGACCGTACGATCTTTACCGTGCTGGAGTTTTAGACGAATACTTTATGGGATTGATGAATCAAGTTGCTCAAGCTATGGATGACTCTATAACCCAAGAAGTATAACTTTCATTTTGTATCTACGATACAATTTAAATAAGGACAAGAAAATTAACTCAATATTATTGTGCAGGTGACCAATCATTTGTTTAAAAAAGTTGGCGCAAAATTCGGAATGGATTTGGTATCATTCAACATGCAACGTGGACGAGAATTTGGTATACCAAGTTACATGGATTTTCGGTAAGTATGCATATAGAACAATTGTTTGATCCAACGATTAGAAAACGATTTTTAATCATATTTGTTCGTTACAGAAAATATTGCGGATTACCTGAAGCTAATACTTTCGACGAATTGTTCGGATCAATGCCAAACGAGACTATTGGACGGTATAGTTCAATTTTCGAGTGAGTATAAAAAATTTTATTTTAAATGAATTCAAAAACGTAATTGCGTCTTCCGAAACAAATATTAAATGAACATTTGAATCTTTCCTAACAGACATCCAGCTGACGTTGATTTGTGGTCCGGTGGTGTATCGGAGCGACCACTTCCGGGTAGTATGCTTGGGCCAACCTTCGCCTGTATAATCGCTACGCAATTTAGCCATTCACGACGTGGTGACAGGTTTTGGTACGAGCTACCAAATCAACCAGCGTCCTTCACTCTCGGTACGATCCTTTCGAATCCTCTCGAGTTTCTTTATCCCCAAGGCCATTAGTACTATTCTAACAGAGTGCAACTCGCTTTCACTTTTCTAGATCAACTCAATGAGATTCGTAAGACGAAACTGGCTAAGATGATATGCGACAACACAGATCTTATAGACACCATACAAATATATCCTATGGTTTTACCTGATCACGAAATGTAAGAGTCCAGAATTATTTAAGGGGAATATTTTGAAAATAATGTTTGACATAAGAATGTTATTTATTAGTTCAATATTTGTTCAGTATTTGTTCAGTATTAGTTCAATATTTTTCAATATTTTTCAATATTTTTCAATATTTTTCAATATTTTTCGTCAGAGTATTTATAATACAAAACAAACGTGCCTTAGGGTTACGTTAGAGTTTTTTTTTATAAATTTTCTTAACACTTCCGATGTGTCTAACATTTTAGCACTACGGTATAGTGTTCAAAATACTGATCCAATAAACAGCAATTAAAGCATGAGACATGAATTTTCTGAAAATGAAATAAATTATTGGATAAGAATGGTCTGATGCAACTAATAGGAATTCTGATGATGTGTTAATAGCAATCCACGAGTACCTTGCCGTAGTGGTGTATTACCAAGCATAGATTTGAGCAAATGGGCCGAGTATCCAACGAGCCACGCCACGCAATACGTGAGTAATCTAGCGCGACAGTACGGGCCGTTTGGGAAATAAGAAAAGGGCTCATCCACGTTTTATACTATATCTAGAGAAAATAATATATTAAAACAATTAGAAAAAAATATATATAAATATATAAATACACCGGGATACTACATATTGAAACCACCACCACCACCACCACCACCACCACCATCACGTAGTATGTCTCACGAGCCAGGACATCCTAACCCAAGATACACTGCCTAGGGATGCACGCAGAAAAAAATTTTAAAAACAAGCAAGCAACAACAACAACAACAACAACAAAAGCAACAAGAAAACAAGAATCATTAAAAAAAAAAAAAATGTATACTTAAGACGATTATATAATCTCGTCATAGTCATCGCCTAATAAAAATGGGTATAATATTGCACTTTACCCATCCCCACCCCCTCTTGCATAAGTTTCCACGCTTATACGCAGATATCAAATTTTTAGTATATTTTATTCTTATTTTGTTTTGTTTTGTATTGCACTTAGGTGTAGTCATAATTACATTTGTAGTTTATTCATTATAAATGAATAAGTTATAGAACGAAAGTAAACTTTTGTATTTTTAGTATTTTTTTTTTGGAAACACTCTATGGCAGTAATAATAATAATAATAATAATAATTTAATATATTTAATAAACGACAGAAAAAAATAATTATTTGATTGCACAATAGATATGCATAATAGAAAATAGATTTCATTAGATGTTCATATAATTTATAAGTTAATCGAGAAGTAAATGTTAGCGTGATAGAGAACATATTTAAATGTGTTCTACACGACGTATAAATGTCGGAACCGAGAGAGTGAAAGTAAAATCAAAATTTATCATTAATACTAATTCTTATAAGACATAAGTTCTTAATAGACATTCTTTAGAATATAGTATTAATTTTGTTTTGTTGTTTAGATCCCGTAGAGGCGAAGACTTCATTTGCACGGTGCATAGCGAATTTACTAAAATACATACACACCACGTATATTAATATCAATTAACAATAATTGCACACAAACGAACACACATATAGGAAAAAGTATAATACTAAATTTGAAACACATTGATATTCGATTTAAAAACATTTAAATATCTAATCATAATATATATCACGCATATTTTCACGCATACTTTCACGCAGTTATTGCTATGCACTTTGATTGCACTATAACTTTGTTTAAATTAGACACTTTGATAAGGGAATAAAAATTATTCACAGATAGGGACACACATATAGACACAAAAATAAACAAACTTATCCATCCATTCATCTATCCGTTCCGTCAATCCAATCAATCCATTCATTGATCAATTTTCCTAGATTTTCTACCAGTTTTATTTACGCAGCACCACCATTGTCATCGGCACACAGCTACAAATGTAAAAAAGAGAAACCTATTGTACTGTAGCGTTTGGTGGAGGAACGTTTGCTTGACGTGCCGGGACGTCCGGTGAATGCGGACACGGTACGGGACCACTACGAGAAACAGGACGCTTTGCGAATCTTCTTTGAGAGTATTAACGGCATTGCTTCGTATCTGGGCATCACGAGAAAGTAATGCGCGCGCGCACACGCACACCAGAGAACGGGTCCATCTCTTCTGATATCATTTTCGCAATAGAAAAGAAAAAAAATAAGAAAATTATACGTCGATATATCTATTTAACTGCATATACATGCATACATTTGTTTAAATATATATATATGAGTGTGTAAACTTTTCTTGATGTTACACAAAATTTCAAGTAAAATGATTTTTCCAATGAAATAATAATTCATTTGCTGTGCCAAATGAAAACGCGATTATGTGCGTAGCACTTGACTACAATAAGTTTTTTCTTAGCCGTCTAAGGTATTATATCGAAAAATGCATTATGTAAATAGCGCCCTTGCAATGGCACAGAAACGTATGTAAAGAAAATTAAGATAAAAGAAAAGAAAAGAAAAGAAAAAAAAAGAAAAGTAAAGAAAAGAAAAAAACAGAAAACAGAAAAATGAGATGATCGTTTCTGCGCCACTGCACTGCAGCTCTCGTCGTAGTTATCGATTATTATATTACTATATATATATATATATATATATATATATGTATACTTTGTACATATTAACGAGCACCAAGAAATAAAGTCACTTTGATAATAGTGCCATTAAAAAATAACGAATATCATCCTTATTCTCATCTTTATTCTCATCTTTATTCTCATCTTTATTCTCATCTTTATTCTCATATTTATTCTCATCCTTATTCTCATCCATATTCTCATCCTTATTCTATTAAAAATATTCAGTATTTTGCAGATTTCTTGCACAGTAGATTTGGTTCGCAATATTTTCATTAATGGTAAACCCATAGAATTTATTACATAAAATTTCCATCAATTTTCAGCATCAACAATCTCGCAAACCTTACCGAGATATGAAAAATGTCCCAGATAAACGCTACGCGAAATTATTTAATCCCAATTTGATGAAGATTATAAAAAGAAAAGATGAATACGTAAAAAAAAGATATACACCTTTATTATTGACAAGACTCATTCAAAAAGTATCTACGAGTGACGTTTTAACACTTAGCATACAAAATAATAACATGGTACTTATCGATAATGAATTCAAGCAATCTTCTGACAGTGAAGCAATCAAAATTAGCAGCATCATCGAGAAAATAATAAAAAAGAATAGAGGAATGAATAACGCGCGTAAGAGGAGGAATCGATCATTCAGAAAAATAAATAAAAGTATGACGGGCAAACGATTAAAACGTTCTGCCAATGAAAATAGTAATTCATCGGCAGAAATGAAAAATAATTTGAAACTCCATCGACATCCTAAACTCACTCAGGAGGATGAGAAATCTAAAATAACTGATACGAATGTAAACGTTTATACTGATTTTTACAAACGCATATGGGAGATAATTAACGGCACGCGTCCGAGTTTCAAAATCGTGGTACCGCCTATGAGAACACATAGAGAGATATTAAATGATGAACACGTTACGTCTGGCTCGGAAATCGAAAATTTTCCTTATAACGAGACTGGGTCTTTGAATGAGAAGAAAAAATTGTTCATTGGAGTACCTTTCGATGAGAGGAAACCTCCAGAAGAGGATGAATTTGATAAGTACGTTCAAGTGGACATGGAAAATGTCGATAATTGTTCAACGTTAAAGCCAATTGTTGAATCCAAAAATGAGATGATTATTATCAATCCTGATGAAGTATACCTTGATTCTAAGGAGACCAAAGATTTGAGTGAAAATAAATCTTTTTCTTCTATGTCTGTTAAAAAATTGGATAAGAAAAAACTAGTCCCTTCAGTTCCTGATTACGATCCAGACAAAATCCCATACGTCGAGGTACCTGATTATTCAGACGAGAGAGAGGAAAGTCTAGACAAAGAAGACCGTCGATTAGCTAAAGAAAAATATATAGATCCACACAATTTTTCGAATATGTCGAACAATTATGCGGAAAAAATGACTACGTTAGGTTACGAATATTCCGACAAAAATAAAAATGAAGATGCTAATAAAGATCAAAGTATTTTAACACGCGGTGCAACAAGCAATAAATTATCGGAAACATCTAATCAAGAAAAGACAAATTTGCGTAATCATCTTAAGAATAATAATAAGAATGTTAAGAGTCAATCGGAAGTTAGAGAGAGAGAGAGAGAGACGAAAAATCCGGATGAAGGATTCGTTCTACCGGAAATTCAATTTGACATTAATGAGTACAATAAACCTTTCGACTTGGATGATTTTTTAAAAAGCGAACCATTTTTTACAAAATTTAAAGAACCCCAAAATAATAATAATAATAAGAGAGAGAATGGTAAAGAACTAGTGGACGATGCTAAAAGTAATTATTCTTCTATGTCGGAAGATCCAACTAAGGAAGATTTAGTTGATGCTGATGAATGGGAGTCACGGTATGAGCGTGCAAATGAAAATGCTCCCAAGGATCAAATGAGACTTGATTATACGAAGGATCAAGGAAGAACTGATGAAATGATCAACGAAGAAAAAGATTTTCTCAAGCGTTATTTTAGTAAGGACGTTATAGATAAATTAGAAGAACATTCGGACGAGGAATTCGGTGAAGAAACTAAAAGGAAGGAGAGGGAAGTGGAGAAAAAAAAGCAAACCTTAAAAACATTGTCTACGATCCTTGACAAAAAGGATCGAATTTCAAGATTGGACGAGGAAGTGAGTAAGGAAATTGAGGACAAAGGAAAAAAGGATCCCTCCGTTTATAAGAATTATTGGTCTATAGAGTAAGAGTTACCTGGTATAAAGGATATAAAAAGAGATGAAGAAAATATAAACTAAGAAGATTGAAAGTAGGATGAAGAAAAGGAGGAGGAGAGCAGGAAAAGAGGAAGGGAGAGCTGTGTATTAATTTACTGCTCTTTGATTTTACATACAAAATAATGAACAATATTTTTTTAGCATGTAATTATATAATACTCTCTTATGTGAGTACATTCTTTCAATTTTTGCACCAGTTGTATTTACACCCACACCCAAAAATTGAAATGTATAGTAAATGTTAATAAAATAAATATTATCTAAAACACGAATCTCTGATTTTTAAGATAAAAATAATTATGATCCGCTTGCTATAAGTATAAATAATATTAGCTGAAACATTTCAAAGAAATTGCAAAGATGCACAATTTACAGCATTGCATTCTCCTGTCATTTTCTGAAATTTACATGCTAAACTTATAACTCGAAATAGAATTCTACGCGTAGACAAAAGAGTGTACTTTGACTTAATATTAGTTTCATTAAAATCCATTCACTTTTAGTATAAAAAATATTTAACGAAACTTTTCAAAGAAACGAAAAAGTTGTACAATTACCAGCATTGCATTCTCTGGAATTTTAATAATTTAAAACACGAGACATCCAGCTAAAAAAAGAATTGATCGTGTAGGGCACAGAGAGTACTGTAATATCAAAAAAAGTTTATTGAAATTTGACTACTGTAAAAATCAAAAATATAGACGAGAACGTTCCGAAGATATAACAGCTATGTGTGAAATATATGTACTTTGCAGCATTTCATTGTATGGGATTTTAAGTATTTAAAACGCGAAACACGCAACTAAAAAATATATTGTACGTGTAGAACAAAGAGTGTACTATCATTTAAAATCATTTTTAT